AATTGTAATGATAAAATAATGACTAGGTTTGCAAATTTAACTGTGTGTCAACAGATTCCACATAACCTCAGACACCACAAGAACGATTTGGGGAAAGGACTTCTCTGGGGAGAGCCGAGCTGTCGGGCACGCCCGGCCCACTGACAAGCACACACGAGGGGAGAGGGCGTTCTCTTCACCCGAAGCACACAGCGACAGGTAGGGACACGCAGATCACATGAGGCACCACGGGCCGCAGGGCCGAGCCCACGGGCCGACAACCTCACATGCAGCAGGGCCATGCGTGTGGCCTAGATTCGCGGTAGTGACGGGTGTGAAGTGCAGGGACGCAGGTAGCAGCGGCAGGCGTGTGGGCAGCAGGACCGGCTCCCACAGCCCGGGCGGCCGGGCATTCTGCCCCCACGGGAAACCGACCACCACGGCAGGACCAAAGCAGCTGGCAAACCCAGACTGCCGGGGCGTTCCCTCCGGCCAGCTGCAAGATGGCAGGAGGGAGGGGTGGCCGCAGCAGTAGACAGCGTCTCAGCAAGGAGAAGGTCAACATGTCACCAAGCTTTAGGAGCCGCCTAGGCCAGAGGAAGACACGCCCTGGCCAGTGCGGACGCTCAGCGGCCGGCGCTGGGCTGCTGCACAACCGCGCCCAAGAGGGGTCGCTCTAAACCCTGCTGAGCCAGACTTGGGGTCGTCGAGAGCAACACCAGTCAAGTGAGAACTTCTAGCACCTTCCCTGACTCCCCCACCCTCAGGTAGATAGAAACTGCAGGTTAAGCTCTGGGCCAGGAGGAGTAAGAAAAGGAAGATGTCCCCACCCACAGACGCCCCCCAGGGGAGAGACAAAAGCCCGACTGGGCTGGGACCACAGGTGGGTTCTCACGGGAGCAAGGCACCCCGTGGCCATCTGGAACCATGGGGCCCTAAATTAAAGGCACGAACATAGCGCCCTAAAAATGAAGACAAAAACCAAAGGTCTAACCAAAGGCTTAACCAAAAGCTAGGAGAAGACTTCTGCCCACCAAATAAATAGAACACGGACCGTGCAAACTGCTTTCGGATTGTGCACCCGGAAGGCAGAGTTCTTCAAAGTGCCGCTACGAGGCGCAACATCCCCTGCAGGCCAGGAGCAAAGGACCAGTACCTGCTGTCACCTGTCACGCATGGTGCAAACTGACAGCTGACACTCTGCTACCGGAACAAGCACTGCTCATACCACAGGGCACCACCTGCCACGTCCAGGCGGAAGGAGACCTCTGGCCCCCGGCCTCGCAGCTGTACTCCCCGGCGTCCGCCACGCCGCCTGCGCCACACCAGCCGCCGCTGCCTCCCCTTCGCCTCCACGCGCACTCGGAGCTGGGCTCAGCCGCTTCCCGTCCTTGTACCACGTCACCTCCGTCTGCGCCTGCGCAACCTCGCAGCTCAGCGTGGCGCCGGCCACCTCGCAGCTCAGCGTGGCGCCGGCCCCCGCCTCGGCCCGCACCTCGCTGCGCTCCGGCTGCTCCTTGGCGAACACCAACGCGGGCTCTGGGGACGGACGGGGAGGGACACGGGGTCAGAGATAATCCAATTGCTAGAACTGAATAAGCGCCCACCCTCTTGACCTCCAATGTCTGATTCTCCCGCCTCAAGCCTGCCCTGTTCCTAGCTTTCGCAACACAGAGAAACTCCTGGGCTCAAGCAATCCTTCTGCCTCAGCCTCCCAAGTAGCTGGGACTACAGGTGTGCACCACCATGCCCGGCTAATTTTTTCCATATATTTTTAGTTGTCCAATTAATTTGTTTCTATTTTTAGTAATGATGGGGTCTCACTGTTGCTCAGGCTGGTTTCAAACTCCTGATCTCGAGCGATCTGCCCACCTTGACCTCCCAGAGTGCTGGGATTCCAGGCATGAGCCACGGCACAAGGCCTCTCATTTTTGAATGATCGTTTCGCTGAGTACAGAATTCAGGGTTGACAGATACTGTCCCTCAGTACTTTGGAGATTATGCCATTGTTTTCTGTGGTTCTCGTGGCTGTTGAGAAATCTACAGGAAAGATTACTGTTGTTCTGTCCATCTTTTTTTCTCTCTGTAGTTTTAAGGATCTCTTCTTGGTTTTGGCCTTCGGCAATCCACTATAACATGTACAGCTGGAATATATTTTCTTTACACCTCCAATGGTTCCTTCTGAGTCTTGAATTTTAGGATTCATGTTGTTTATCATTTCTAAAACTTCTTGCATGATATTTTATTGTTGCATCTTCCTTATTCTCTCTAGTTTCTTCTGAAAGTCCCTTTTAATTTTACTTTTTAAATTCACACATAAAAATGGTATATTATTGCGTGTAACATGTTTTGAGATATGTATATATTGTGGAATGGCTAAATTGAGCTAATTAACGTATGCATTACCTCACATACTTATTGTTTTTTGTGGTAAGAAAAATCTACTCTCTTAGCAATTTTCAAGAATACCATACATTGTTTTTAACTATAGTCACCATGTTGTATAATAGATCTCTTGAACTTATCTTCTGTCTAAATGAAACTTTGTACCCTTGGACTAACATCTCCCCAACATCCCCGACCCTCAGCCCCTAGCAACTACCATTCCACTCTCTACTTCGATTAGGCCAACTTTTTTAGATACCACATATAAGTGAGATCACGTGGTATTTGTCTATGTGCCTGGCTTATTTCACTGGCATAATGTCCTCCGGGTTTATCCATCTTGCTAGAAATGACAGGATTTCCTTTCTTAAGGCTGAATAGCATCCCACTGCGTATTTATACCACAGTTTCTTCACCCATTCATCCACTGATGGACACTTAGGTTGACTACATAGCTTGACTATTGTGACTAACACAGCCACGAACATGGGAGTGCAGACATCTGTTCTAGAAGTCCCTTTAGACATGTTTGACCTTCCGCTTCTATCCTCCATGTCTTTCAACACCTTGTGTTTTCTATCTCTTTGTTAGCTCATTCTAAGTACTTTCCTAAGGTCTATGTTCCACTTCAGTAATTACCTCTTTAGCTATGTCTAATTTGCTATTTATCCTCCACTGATTTGATAGTTATAAATGTTGATGTTTCCCATCTCAAGAAGTCTCATTTTGTCCTTCTTCATCTGCCTGTTCTGTTCCTGGCGTTTTACTTGTTCTTATGTTTTTGTGTTCCATACATCACTTCAGTCATTTTCCACTTGCTTACTTTATGCTTTCTCTCAGATTGTTGCTACATCATCTGAAGTTCCTGAAGGGCCTAACCCCGACCTTCTCTGTACATTCCGGCTCTTATTTACATTGGATTGTTTCTCTGATGCTTGGGTCTGTTTTTTATTGTGAGCTCACCTTTATCAAGACTTCTTTATTCTATTGCAATTAAGAATAGCTCTGGCACTCTGGGAGTCCGAGGCGGGTGGATCGTTTGAGCTCAGGAGTTCGAGACCAGCCTGAGCAAGAGTGAGACCCCATCTCTACTAAAAATAGAAAGAAATGAACTGGCCAACTAAAAATATATTTTAAAAAATTAGCCGGGCATGGTGGTGCATGCCTGTAGTCCCCGCTACTCGGGAGGCTGAGGCAGAAGTATCGCTTGAGCCCAGGAGTTTAAGGTTGCTGTGAGCTAGGCTGACGCCACAGCACTCTAGCTGGGACAACAGAGTGAGACTCTGTCACACACAAAAAAAGAATAGCTCTGGTGGTAGAAATATCCCTTTCAGGTAGAATGTTTTATATTTACTCCTCCCAGGAGTATCACTGTCCTGGAGCCTATTTCTAGGTGAATTTCTTATTCTGGAAGTATTATCAATTCAAACTCCGATCCTATGTGAGGAATGGGTTTCCGCTGCTTCGGGGAAACTTTTCCTACCTGAGCCAAGGCAGAGAAACAAGCTTCCTTGTCATCTACTTGGGCTATAAGGAGATTGTTTTTCGGGTCCAACTTTTCCCTAATGATGTGGGTCTAAAAGGGTCCCATATTTTCACAGAAGTCTCAGTCCCCGCCTCTCTGGAGCCTGTGTACTCCTCGCCTACTCACAAGGCGGTGGTTTAAGTCAGGCCCAGGACCCCACCAGGCACACCACTGCGCCTCAACCCATCACTTAGTGCTCTTGCCTTCCATTCCCTCTCCGTTTCTACCACATGGAAATTTCTCTTTTTTCCTTGGAAGTTCAGATATTAACTTAACCTACTCTGTTGCATTCTGCCAAGCATTGGTAGGTGTTTGTAACGGGTGGGTATCCACACTATGGAGTCCACAGTACTCTCGGAACCAGAAACCCAGACGGGCTGATTTTCACTCCCCTCTTCCACATTAAATCGTTTAATCTCATCTACTAGGGACTGTCTGCTTTGGGAATGCCTCCCTGGTGTCCCAACAGAAGTCAGCAGAAACTCTGACTTGTATTTTTTAAAATTTATTTTAAAGCACATCAGTGTCCCAAATACAAATGGTTCTATTCTTATGCCTTAGGTTTATTTTTCACAAAAGAAATGATGACACGTCCAGCTGCCTGTCTGGCTAGCTCATGCTTGGTGGCCCTGCTAGGACAGGCAGATGGACAAAGGCAGGAGGTGACGAGACCCCTCAACAGCCCATCCTCTCCTACCACTGACGCACCGGCAGGTCCTGAATCCCCCTCGTCAGCTCCACATCGACCACTGAGGTCAAGCCCGGAGAGCCAACTGCCTCCTGAACACCCAGGGGCCCCAATCTGACTCACTGAGGGCCCCTTGCGGCCTTGCCATTCCCGAGTTCTCTCCCTGTCCTGACCAAGCACGGAGTGCCCCGGCTGCTCTGTGACCCGGCCAGCCGCACATTCCCCCCGACCCCGGCAGGCTGGGACCCAAGGGGGCCTTGAGCATTCCCAGGCGCCCAGGCACAGATAAAGATGTCCAGGCTGTAGCTCGAAACACTGAAGATCAAACGTGTCACTGAACACGCAGGAACGAGCCCTGGCCCTGAGCCGAAGTCTTTCCACCTTCGTATAAACTCCATACCCCAAGCCCTCATCGCAGACACGCCCGGGCAGGGCTCGGCCTTCTCGGTGTGGGTTGGGAGGGTATGCTGTGGTCCTCCTCTGCAAGGAGCCCCCAGTAGCTGCCCGGACGCGTATCCCTGGCATTCAGTGCTGCTTTCTACAGAATCCCAACTGGCCCGCCTCGGGACGGCTCAGGGCGCCCCCTTCTTCTTCTCCCCACAACCCCCAGCCCCACAACCGCCCCTTCCCAGGTCCAGCCCCTCCATCACATCCGCTCCAGCCTGCCCTAAGACCCACTGCCTTTTCCTCCTTCCTGCAGTTCCGGCCATCACCCTGCCTGCTCACACTACTCCACCCCTCTCTGCCTCCTGCGTGCCCCTCCGTCCTCAGGGCCGCCACCTCTCTTCAGGCCTGGTCCCCCCTCCCCGAACCCAGGCAGAGCACCCTACCTGGTCCGCCTCATCCAAACTCGGTCTCTACAATGACACCAGAGTCTGTGACCACGCGGCCTCTGTGTCCCACACCTGGGGGGCGGAGGGCAGACATCCACTCCCCAGGGACACAGGAGGGCCCCAGAGAGGGTCCCCTGCCTTTCGAATGCACTTCCAATTCCAAATCTGCCCTCAAAGGGGACGCTCAGAAGGCTTTGTGTTTTTCAAACCGAGCTGACCAAGCGTCGCCACCTCACGGAGCCCACGGCCAAACCTCCAGAATCAGATCTTCTCTGGGGTGAGAATACAGGCACAGGCCACGCGAGAGCCTTGACGGAGGCCCGCACGTTGGCCTGTCCCCGCCGTGTCTTCACCAGGGACAGTGGCACTGTCCCTGGCAAACTGGCGTCTCCTCACAAATGCCAATGCCAGCACAGAGAACAGACACGGCCGCACGGCAGCTGCCGCGCCCCTGCCCGCCCCGCAGTCGGCCGGGCGTCGCCAACAGGGCCGTCACCCAGTTCTCTGCTGCTTGCGATGCTCACTTTAGAGAGAGACTCACAGAGACAGACTCACAGCCTGGAGGGAAATCGTGTCTCGATGCGCACTTCGCAGAACCACACTGTGTTCGTGGGTACGTGTATGCATGTGCTTGTGTTTGAGAGTGTGGGTGTGTTTAAATGTGAGTATGTGTGTGTAAGCATGTGTATGTGTGCATATATGCTTATGTAAATGCATGGATGTGTCTGAGTGTGTGTTTGTGTGTATCATGCATGTATGTGTGTGTATGAGGGTGAGGTATGTGCATGCATGTGTATATGTGTGTACATATGTCTGTATATATGTGTATTTAAATGTGTGTAAGTATGTGTTTGTGTATTGTGTACGTGCATACACGTACATGTACACGTATTGTATGTGGATGTATCTGTGTGTATGTGTGGTGGCTGCAGGTATACTTATGTGTGTGCAAGTCTGTATGGGTGTGTGCTGTGTGTATGCATGTGTGTGTTTGTGTGTGTGTGTATGCATGTTTATGTAGCTGTAAGCGTGTGTATGTGTGTGTTTTTCCTCCCCTCCCCCCACGCCAGGCCACGCAGGCTGCAGACAAGGAACACGCTGAGCGAGG